GTAGTTTGTCCAAAGCCACAAAAGTATCAACCTGCAGAATCAACAAAACCAGGCTAACCTAAGAAACTATGCTTGGTTGTTTTAAAAGCTGTCAGTATACCTTCTTCTGTATTTACGTAGCCCTTTTAGTTTCTATTTGTAGCTTTAGATTCTATCCCAGAAAATATAGTCCTTGCATACTCATTAAAATGCCGTGCTGATAAAATGCCCTGAAAACAGAACATCCTATACACAGCTTCTTAGAAAGGTCAGGTAAGAGCAGTGGAAGGCCATTTGATTGCACTCTTCACCTGTCTTTCTTCAGTTATTACAAGGGGAAGACCAGACGTTTTCAGTTTTTTCCTAGATTTGGCACCTACAGGTGCCAACATACATGAAAGAACCACTTACCTATAACATAACTTTCACACACAAATATTAAAAAGTAGCTTTAGAGTCAGCCCAGATGGCCTAGTGGTTAAAGTTCGGCACTCACCACTTTGGTGGCCCAGGTTCACTTCCCAGTCACGGAACCACACCACCCATCTGTCAGTTTTCTATGTGGCAGCAGCTCACATAGAAAAACTAGAACGACTTAAACTAGGATATACAACCATGTACTGGGGCTTTGGGCAGGGAAAAAAAAAAAGAGGAAGATTGGCAACAGATGTTAGCTCAGGGTGACTCTTTCCTTGAAAGAAAAAAAAAAGTGCAATTGCAAAAAACTTTTTTTTAAAAAAAGTAGCTTTAGAAGCTCCTTTTTATCTTTTCTGTTTTGGACAAAAGACAATTTACCGTAGGTAGCAGTTGACTAAATTGAAAACTGACATGATATGGAGATTCCTCAAAAAGTTGACAATAGAACTACCACACGATCCAGCTATTTCACTTCTGAGTATTTATCAGAAGAATATGAGGGGCCGACCTGGTGGCGCAAGCAGTTAAGTGCACACGCTCCACTGTGGTGGCCCAGGGTTCGCCGGTTCGGATCCTGGGCGCACACCAACATGCACTGCTTGGCAAGCCATGCTGTAGCGGCATCCCATATAAAGTGGAGGGAGATGGGCATGGATGTTAGCCCAGGGCCAGTCTTCCTCAGCAAAAAAAAAAAGAGGAGGATTGGCAGATGTTAGCACAGGGCTGATCTCCTCACCAAAAAAAAAAAAACAAAAAAAACAAGAATATGAAAACACTAATTCAAAAAGATACATGCACCTCAATGTTCACAGCAGCATTATTTACAATAGGCAAGATATGGAAACAACCTAAGTCCATTGATAAATGAATGGATAAAGATGTGGTATATATACACAATGGAATACTACTCGGTCATAAAAAAGAATGAGATTTTGCCATTTGCAACAACATGAATGGACCGCGAGAGTATTAAGTGAAATAAATCAGGAGAAAGACAAAAACTGTATGATTTCACTCATACATGCAATCTAAAAACAAAACTTAAAACAAAAAAACAGATTGGTGGTTACCAGAGGGGAAGAGGGTTGGGGGATGAGCAAAATGGGTGATGGGGGTCAAGCATATGGCAATGGATTGTAACTAGACTTTTGGTGGTGATCACTTTGTAATGAATACAGGCATCAAATTGTAATGTTGTACACCTGAAACTTACATGTTAAATACCAACTTAACTTCAATTTTTAAAAAATGACACAAAAATCTCAAAACAATGTTAAGCAAAAGTAGACAGATATAATTTTTACTGTGTGATTCCATTTGTATAAAGCATAAAAGCAGGCAAAATAGTCTGGTTAGAAGTCAGTGGTGGTGGCAAGTTGTGACTGGAAGCAGGAACGAGGGGACTTATGGGATTCTAGGAATGTTTTTTCCTAATCTGAGCTCTGATTACTCAGGCTATTGTTCACTTTGTGCACATTCAGTATTATATACCATTATTTTGCCCATTTAGACAGATATGAAATTTACTCCTTGGTATCTCCTGTATTATTTCTTCCTCTCCATAAGCTCCATAGAATGGCTATAATTCATCTATCAGTCTCCTCCATATTCCCTCCCCTGGCCCTGCTCATGTTAAATTCTGCAACAGTATATCCTTCATCAAGTATACTCTCTTAAGAATTCACATTACATAGGAAATTGCATGGTATAATTTAATGCAAGTTTGTCAATCAAGTACATAATGGAATACAAACATTTACCTTCTTTTTTCAGGGGTGGGAGAGAGTACAGCAAGTTACATCTCTCTTGGTCCCCGGACTGGACAGTTGCTGTTAGGGTAGGAGGGGGATGCAGGCTGTAATATCCATTTTCTTGAGGTTCTGTATCCTTTTAATCTCTTAATATAACTCATTTTCATTCTCCATCTTTTTTCAAAACTGTACTGCATAATTAAAAAGTTATATTGCATACTAAGAAATATCATGCAATGAGTATTCATATTTGTATTGAGTTTTACACTACATGTATTTACATGTTTTCTGGGTCACATCTTTTCTATAAAGGTTAAAATGTCACCACCTCCACAAATGGTTTACTCTCTGAGCAGCAGCCCTAAGGGATTTCTATAAAAGTCATGATTCATTGATGACCGTAACTAATACTTATTAAGCAGCCCAACTGGTATATGACATTGTACTTGGCAATATGGTCTTATAACCCTGATCTTACCTAAGAGTAACTTCTCTATATACAACTGTCTATTAACCAGTTAACTAGCTTTCAGCGTGGTTGCTAACCGGCTTGAAAATCTTGCTGCATGAACACTGGACAAAATAGTTTTATAAGTTGATTAACATTTGAAATAAAGATAAAATAGGTTTATAAAGTTAAACCAAACATATAGCATCAGCATGTGGTAGCTTTCTCCTATCCACTTTTTTAAGTGCAAACAATGGTTGATATCCTACAAGTCTTCCAGGGTGAGTTATGAGAGTTAAATGTTATCATGTTTGCCTCTAGACAAAATTTTAAGTAGACACTCAAGTAGGAGAAAACCACTTTTAATTGAAAAATAAAGCAATACATCTCTAATAGGACTATGTTTAACAACATAAACTTTAATTTGTTGAGGGAAACAGCTTTCCTATAAGTGGTATTGTGAGATTTAGGTATCAGAGTATCAATACGGTTTCCCTCCTTTGACAGTTATAAGCATATTAAAAATAAGAATTTTTTCATTAATTTAAACTGTAAGTTTGTAAAGCCTATCCCTATTCCTAATCCACTGACAAAAGGAGGAGAGATTTTAAGCAAACATTTCCATACAGTTCTCAGATAATAGCTATAGTCAATATTTTCCTTATGAAAAAGTTTATATGAAAGACACACAAGATTATTAATGATATTTAACTAAGCCACAAAACTTCAAAACACAATTTCATGAAGATGATCTCTACTACAATTTTCCTTTAAAGTTCTCAAATCTCAGAATGGTTTAACTTGACATACTGGAAGTAATAAACTTTGAAAGAAAGTACTAAAGTTATTGCTTTAAACTGGAAAAACCTATGGTCAAAAGTCTCTTTTTAAAAAGAGTTCATTAACAGCTATTCTTACAATTACACTCACGTAACTGCAGAGAAAATGTTCAAGCATGTAGTAAACATCACTCTTTTGAATGACAGAACAAAGGCATATGATCTTTAAGATGTATGGCTTTTTGGTGATTATTATTACTACCCATAAATAAAGTCATTACTGTTTGACTGAAAAAGGTTTATACAAAACTTCACTTTCAAAATTAACATTTTTATTAAATCAAGTTAAAAAAATGTTCACTGTAAAAAAGTCAACAAGGGTTTTAACAAAACCAAAATATACCTTTTTATACAATATATGTATATATTAGCAGCAAACTACTTCTGAAACTTTTCTTCTTTCAGTTATTTCTTTTAAAGAAAGTATAAACAATGTATTAGTACAGAATGTCAGCTAATCCACTCTTCATCTTTTATTCTGTGATTTGGGCCTTCCAGTACAAGTTATTTTATGATTCTCATTAATGGATACCAAAAACAAATCCAGTTTTGACTAAAAAGTAGTGAAACAGAGTGCTGGTGGAAGCCATCTCATTACTTCATAGTCACCCATTACCTTTGAGAATAACAAATGAGCACCATATAAACAGGTAATTGTGAGTGTGTGTAAACTCAATTTCTAAGGTGTAATAGTAGCCAACTAGACCACTTAGTATTCAACTGTTAACTTGCTAAAAATTTGGTGATATACAAAATTTTAATCAAATCAGATATCAGAAATTCTGTATATAACCTGACAAACTGTGTGCAAACATATGTGCCCGTGTATATACACATACAAAAGTTATGTATATATACATATACTGAAAGTTTCTAATAAAAGTTTCATCCTAGCTAATCAGAAATACCGGCTATTGAAAATTCTGAGGCCAAAGAGCTGTAACTCAGCTTAGTATGCTTTAGGCTTACAAATTAGTCAGCCAAACGAACAAGATTTGAAATCACCACTGCCCACCAAAGAAATAAACTTTTCTTTTGATACTTCCTTCTAATAGCAAAAAGGAAATATCTTTACAATGAGCACTCACTTTTTAAAGAGTTAAAATTATTAAAGAAACCTCACTAGTCTTCAAAAATACTAAACGTTATATAAATACAATTTTCTTATAGTTGAATTCTTCAGCTAGAATCTGTATTAAAAGTTTCCTTTGGATTGTTTCATTTAGCACTTCAAGTCTCCATTCTGCAATTCTGATAATTGGCTCAGATTTGTTAGGTTTCTATCAATCACATCTTTCAGCATTTGCTACTGTGTGTTAGCTGTGTATAATAACGTCAATGGGAGGAACTGTATCAAATTTCAAAAGCAACATAAGGAAAAATTCAAGAATATGTAATATAAAAAAGATAAAGTACAACAGGGATTCCCTTTTCACCAATACATTAATGAAATACAATCCTTTTAACACTTTTAAGGATAATGTCCTAACTTTCACTTTTTAACTTATCAAGAGAATGAAGTTTTTAGATGGCCCACCTTTATTTTTCAATCAAAGAACTAAACAATAGACTGAATTACTTTTTATTAATATACACATCAAGTTGTTGAAATGATGACTTCATGTCGTTTTCCCCTTAAGATGGCACTTGCAGGTACAAAGATGCAGATATGTCTACGGCCTTCAGATGTTTACTTGAAAAGATTCTTCAACAGCAGTTTGATATTGGGTTTCCTCATCTAGCTGAAGATTCTAAAAACAATAACATTAACACGTCAATACGAAAAACATATTCCACTACTCAATGATTTGCCCATTACACATCTTGATACACAATACACATACTTGAAACAGTTTATGTTTGTTACAACATATACTATCCTTTAAAATATAAGATTTAAATACTTGCATCTTGGTAAAAAAGTTGAGTTTAGTTGTAATTATTTAACTTATTAATTATGTAAGTATTTATGCACTTATGTAATTATTTAAAAACAGAGAGGATCACCAGAGAACGAAATTTGAGAGTTATAGTCCCTTAGGATAAGTCATTAATTAAAAGTATAGTTAAGGGAACCCACCCTCATAAGTGATATATTTTGTATTATCTCTAAAAAAGAATGTCAAATGTCTGAAGGTAAATTCGTTTTTTAAAAAATAAGCATTCATTAATTAAGACAGCTTCTTGATCATAACATGAAGCTAAAAACTATAGTTCAATCTTAGTTATACTACTACTCCTTAACTTAAAAAATTCTATTTGCTATCATTATGTCCTATAAGTTAGCTTTAAAATAGGTTTCTACTTGATAATCTCAAAAAATTAAAATTATACATTCTTCTGTGGCAAGGTAAAACAATCTGACAATTAGATCAAAAGTAGTTCATAAAATATATTTTTATTTTTCCAAATACAGTTCTCCAGACAGTTACCTTTCTAACAATGAGATTTTAAGAATAATCTAGTTACTTCATAAAAATGCTAAAATTATGAGTACACCTGACTTTTACATACATTCTAATTATTTTAAAATAGTACGACTGAAAAATGCAAATTCCACAAAATAAAAAAACAATTTATCAAGAATGATGTAATTTCAACACTGAAGGGCAGAGAAAAACGTAAATTCTGTTCATGCCATTGTCAGAAGTACACAAGCCTGCGCTTACCTAAACTGGAAAACAAGTATCAGTCATCATTTGTGAGGATTAATCTTGAATTAGAGAAGGATTTAATTCATTGAAGTTGAATAAAATGCAATTTCACAATTAATAAAACAAAGGTCATATAATTTAAAAAAAATTATCATGACACATTTGGGAAATAGAAATTAACCCAATGTTTTGCTTTGGGGATCCATTTTTACATTATGTAACTTCCCTCATGCACTCTGTTAAAGCAGTCAACTAAGGCCAGAATCTACTAATCAACCCGGCTTCACTTAACAATTAAGCTCCCTCATTTTTAAAAAGAATGTGTCTCACATGTAGATATAAGAAATCTATTATAATGGGTTTAACAAGCAACTTATAGTACATGAGAAATACATCCTGCTTCATCTGTTGTACCAATTTTACTTCTTTAGCAGGTACAATTTTTCCTTAAAGCTAGACAGTTTTCATACAAAATCATCATTTTGTTAATCTGAGAATTTATTCTTCCTCTATTAATTATCTCTCTAGTACAGGAGGCGAACAGTAAATTCAACTTTTACCACTTCCACAAACCAAAGGTCACCTATATTATTATAAAAACAACAGAATTTACTCTATAACCACCCAGTATGATACAACAGCTTGCCTCAAAACTCAAGTCTAGATTGAAAAAGTTAATTTAACCTGAATATTTAAATGGTATTTTCTTAATCTTGAAGAATTCACTTACCACAAATTCTCCATAATCAAACTGATGTCTTTGATTTAGATGACTAACGAAATTTCTAGTAATCTGGCTAGGATCTCCCCAAGGAAGAGACACACAAATAGGACATGTCTATGAGAAACAGAATGTTTTAAATAAAAAATAACAAAAACAACCAAATGTTATAATTATTGAAGGTATTAAAAAAATAGGCTTATGTTACCAAAAACATCTACATGAAAAGCATTTCTAAGGGCCAATATCCATGACTAGGTCATTTCCCGACCACATTAGCTTAGATAAATTACACTAATCTAACGTAACACAATAAAAAGAGAAATCTTCTAATTCTATTACTTAAATCTCCACTTTTACAACTGTTTCAAAAGAAACACTATATCCAGCCTTTAATAATACCAATTGTAATGAGTTATCATTAACCAGTAAGTAACCTCATTTGAGCCACACAATAACTGTGATATAATTATTATTAGCTTAATTTCATTTGTAAGTAAAATGAAAGTAAACTTTAAATTGTATCCTTAAGGTTTTAAATGAAGTACATCTTAAAAAGTGAATGGATGACATACTGAAATGAAATAAGAAGGAACTCTTGTAATCGGACTCTAGCCAAAATTTGTGCTATAATGAATATAATGCAGAAACAAAAATCTGCTAACACAAAATAAAACAAATGAAATCTCTTAAATATGAGATTTTTCCTAGAAATGTCTTTGGCACTATATCTGTTTATCTAACAGTAACTGACCCTCTCCTAATGAACAAAGTAAGTTTAAGGGCATACTCAATAGTTACTGAGGCATATTCTTTCACAATTTTTTCTAATACATCCACTAAAACTGCTTAGAAATATCTACAATCCTTATTTTATTTATAACATTTTCCTTCTATTATTATTTCTAAAGAAAATATTTATGTATCAAAAAGTACAGCTGAGTGCTCAGCCCCATGGCGTAGCGGTTAAGTGCACGCACCCCGCTGTTGGCGACCAGGGTTCGGATCCCAGGTGCGCACCGATGGCTCCACTTGTCAGGCCATGTTGTGGCGGTGTCCCACATAAAGTGGAGGAAGATCGGCATGGGTGTTAGCTCAGGGCCAGTCTTCCTCAGCAAAAAGAGGAGGATTGGCATGGATGTTAGCTTGGGGCTGATCTTCCTCACCAAAAAAAAAAAAGTACAGCTGAAAGGAAAGTCTCTCTTCCAGCCAGTTTCTTCTGTTCTATCCACAGGTGAACTCACTTACCTATGAAACTCATGTTCCAAATGAGGAGCTGTAGGACCATTAACACAATGTTGGAATCCTGCACTCTGCTCCACCTCCTTCATGCATCAAAAAAGATCTCACCACTTTCTTACACACACTCAAAATGCCATCAAGAAGATATGTATGCATCAAAAAGAAAGTATGACTCTTTTCTTTCCTTGCTTTATGCATTCATATACTAGATTCTACAAAGATACAATTAAAAATACCTAACTTTATTCTTACTTACAGGTGTTTTCACCTGCAGCAGATCCACCTAACCAGATCTAGTTGCTTGCATCCTACAGACCAAGAAACTGCGAGACCCCAATAGAGTCAGATTCTGCCACTCCTTGGTAATGAGTCCCCAGTTCACATTTCATTGCTTCACTCATCTCCAGTCTGTTCTCCTATATTATGCTCACAATAAGCATCTCCCTTTTTAGAAGTGAGTTACTGGAATTTTAAATATCTCATTTTGCTTCATAGTCATCAATCTTTTGTTGACAAAAACCTACCTTATTGATAATGCCCCATCGAAACTTAAATCAACTACCTTCCCTTGTACACATGAAGTGAAATAAATGGAACAGCATACTTTAAGCTGAAGACTGTCTTAAACATATCTACTTACCACAGGAACTATCTGAAATAGGTGATTACTGTTACAGTGATCCAGTAAACGCTGTCTGGTAAAATTTGATTCTTGACACAAGGGACACTTAAAGGTGGGATGCCCAGAACTATAAAACAATTTTAAATGAAATATAGTGAACTTGAAATCATAACATAAAAATGATGTTTTCCTAATTTTTTTTTTTGCTGCAGAAGATTTGCCCTGAGCTAACATCTGTTGCCAATCTTCCTCTTTTTGCTTGAGGAAGATTTTCCCCAAGCTAGCATCTGTGCCAATCTTCCTCTATTTTGTATGTGGGTTGCCACCACAACATGGCTACCACTGAGTGGTACAGGTCCATGCCCAGGAACCGAGCCGGGGCACCAAAGCAGAGCGTGTGGAACTTAACCACTAGGCCACAGGGCTGGCCCCTCCTACTTTTTAACCAATTACTATAGTTTCTTTTTTTAAAAGTTATAGTTATTAGTCTATTCCAAGATTCTCTCATTTTGAAAAAACTATGTTTTCAATAAACAATCTAGACCAATAAATGATCTTCAATAGATATTCTCAAATGATCTCAGTTTACAAACCCTTAGTGTCTCAGTAAATTTTTTCATGGTGTCTCTAGGCCTAAACAAAAACAAAAGCAACCCTGGCTGTTCCATCTATTAATATAATTGTTCGTGTGCGGCCAAAAAGATGTCACTGTACGTTCCTTGAAAATTTTAAATATCCCATGGTGTCCCAGTTTGGAAACCCCATATCTAGGAACTGAAAATTTTAAAAAGACTTCCATCAATATCATATCTTTATTCTAGCCCAGTCTCTAAGAATCTAACATACAGAATTCATAAGAAAAGTAAAAAACAAAAGCATTGATCATCAAAATGATCAACATTTCAAAACATTTTGAGGATCACGCATCACTGGGTTTTAATACCTCCGAATTTCAGCAAGGGACAGTTCAATATTGACAACTCTACCTACATTATGCATGGAAGAAACCTGACCACAGTGAAAGAGGAGAGCTAAACTCTTCTTTTTTTTTTTTTTTTTTTTTATAATTTTATTTATTTTTCCCCCCAAGGCCCCAGTAGATAGTTGTATGTCATAGTTGCACATCCTTCTAGTTGCTGTATGTGGGAC